AAAGGGGAGATGGCTACTTAAGGGGAGGGGGGTGTCATGAGTAGTTCGCAGGTCAGAGCTTTGATTAAAAGTTCAGACAGAGACATCAAGTCTGGGTTAAGTTTAAGCTCATCAAAAGTTCAGACTCAACATAGACAAAGCCTAACTTTCCAAATGTGAAAGATTTGTAATCAAAATGTCTGCCTGAGTCTGCAGATAGCTTAAAACAATGACTCAGCAATGGGAAATTTCCAGTATCCTATTAATCTGATTGGAGTGTCAACTTTAAAACCAACTGATGGTATCTCATTGGTATCTCTGATTGGAGTGTCAACATTAACTATTTAATCACGGACCATTGTAATGCATGGAATGGCTGGGGAGGGGGGGTGGAAGTGAAGTCCCACTGGGCTGGTAATTGCAGAGGGGGAAAAAACAAGAGGCTCACAAAGACTGAAATGGGAGAGAAAGGAAGAAGGGCAGAAATAATCATGGCCTAAAGGCCATTCATCTATCTGTCTGTCTGACAATAGGTCACTGAACAAATAATGACTGATAACTAAACGTGTAGGTAATGCATAAAACCAGAACATTCTCCTGTTCATCTCTATGCAAACCCACTGATGTTGGTGAGCATTCCGTTGTGCGCTGTCACACAGAGTGAGCCACAGGATCAGTGTAAATATGGAAGTCAATTGAAATAAAACTCTTAACTGCTGCATTGCATCTGGTTTAGATGTAAGGTTTTGTCAGTCCTTTAGAATTTTATAGATACTGTTATTGAGACTGATACCAACTTGCTATTCAGTAGTATTTTTCTCAAGCAGGTTGCAAATTGTTTAAATAGCCCTTTACTCTTATTTTGAACTTCTTGAAAATAAAAGTATAGGGCTATTTAATTTTTGCTTTAGCTGCACTATATTACTACTAAAATATATTTAAGAGATTGCTGTTTGAAATGTCACGAGCAATCAGAACATGAAAGTAATACCTGCCGAAAGAAAGTGAACACCTGATTACTTGTTCAATTTAATGTGTCTGACTATTATCTTACATGAATAATAATATTTGGTCAATGATAATATTAGCAAGAAAATGAAAGCCATAACAGTAGAAAGAAACTCAGCACCTTATTGGCTTGCTTTCTTGCCTTGTCCCTACAATAAATTCATGTATACACACTCATCCTTCCAAAGCAATTCTTCAAATCTTGTAATCAAGGCCATCATTTTTTGATGTGTCATATCCTATCACCCCCTTATATAGTATATAAGTAAACTATGAAAAGTAATTAGTCTGAAACCCTTTATATCTTGCCTGCTATCATATAAATCATCACCTTGTACAAGCCTTTAGCTGGTACTGTCTGTTTGCTATTGATAACAGCAATAGGCCACACCTGTTGATAGGGCATGGCAATTTTAAGCTTTTGATTTGGGGCCAAATTCTCATGTTAGCGAACCAACATCAGTGAGTTATTCCTTTGAAAATAACTAGTAAAACACAGATTGCAAAATCAGCAAGCTAGAAGCTCAAGCAGTCAGACATCACAATGGTGGGCACAGTACAAAAACCTCTTAGGGCTTGTCTACACTGGCACTTTACAGCGCTGTAACTTTCTCACTCGGGTGGGAAAAAACACCCCCCTGAGCACAGCAAGTTTCCAGAGTAGACAGTGCACCAGCGCCATGGAGGTGGCTTTAGCATTGGCAGTGTAGACTAGCCCTCAGATTGCTTAGAAGCCTTGTGTTCAACTCACTGGGACTAATTTTCAAGCTTTACTCTGAAAAGTGTTTTTGGGCTATCAAAGCCATGATTAGAATCCAAAAATGGATTTACTTGAACATAAATGAGATTTTTACCTGTTGCAAGAATAAAGCATTATATAAAGAAATTGCATCATTTAGCTATTTAATATTGTTGGTCAAGGTTTTCAAACAGTTGTTGGTATCCTTTCATCTACGAGAGACGGTGGGAACTGCAGCCTATGATGCAGATGGTTTGCAATGTCTCGTGACTGAATAGTCCAATCCGAGATTTGCATGATCTTTGGCAGTTATTGCAAATATATGTATCTTGCTTGGGAGCTGCTTGCTTCCTACGGGATCTTTTCTCTTCAAGATGTAGGGGCCAGCTTCTATCATGGACTTTGATACCCTGATGGAGACAAGAGCCTAAAATTAGGTTCCTAAATAAAAGTTGTCTGATTTTCAGACATGCTGAGTTCCTTCAGCTCAGATTGAAGTCAGTCAGCCCTGATTCTAATTGTGACGGGTTGGATCACAGAAACCCCTTTCGGAGCTGCCACCTGATGTGCCAAGACTACTTCTACCCCTGCCAGCTTGAGCCAGACACTCCCATCTCCTCCAACACAGACCCAGGGTCTGAATTACTTGCCCCAAAGCTGCAGGTTTACCTGAAAGCAGCTAACCGAAGTGTGCTTGTCTTTAACACTCAGATGCCCAACTCCCAATGGGGTCTAAACCCAAATAAATCCGTTTTACCCTGTATAAAGCTTATGCAGGGTAAACTCATAAATTGTTCGCCCTTTACAACACTGATAGAGAGATATGCACAGTTGTTTGGTCCCCCAGGTATTAATACATTCTCAGAGTTAATTAATAAGTAAAAAGTGATTTTATTAAATACAGAAAGTAGGATTTAAGTGGTTCCAAGTAGTAACAGACAGAACAAAGTAAGTCACCAAGCAAAATAAAATAAAATGTGCAAATCTATGTCTAATCAAACTGAATACAGATAATCTCACCCTCAGAGATGCTTCAGTAAGTTTTTTCCTCAGACTGGACATCTTCCAGGCCTGGACACAATTCTTTCCCCTGGTACAGCTCTTATTCCAGCTCAGGTGGTAGCTAGGGGATTCTTCATGATGGCTCCTCTCCTTTGTTCTGTTCCACCCCTTTATATATCTTTTGCATAAGGCGGGAATCCTTTGTCCCTCTCTGGGTTCCCACCCCGTCCTTCTCAATGGAAAGACATCAAGTTAAAGATGGATTCCAGTTCAGGTGACATGATCACATGTCATTGCAAGACTTCATTGCCCACTTGCCAGCACACACGTATACAGGAAGACTTACAGGTAAACACACCCATCTGCAGACAATTGTCCTGGTTAATGGGAGTCATCAAGATTCCAAACCACCATTAATGGCCCACACTTTGCATAATTACCATAGGCCCTCACAGTTATATTTCATATTTCTAGTTTCAGATACAAAAGTGGTACATTTATACAAATAGGATGATCACACTCAGTAGATTATAAGCTTTGTAATGATACCTTACAAGAGACCTTTTGCACAAAGCATATTCCAGTTACATTATATTCACTCGTTAGCATGTTTTTATAAAATTATATAGACTGCAACGTCACACTAATCTTAGTTACACAGATGTAAATCAGATGTGTAAAAACAATATGAGTTCAGAAGCAGACATGTTGGGAGTTCCAGATGATCAGCACTTCCAAGGATCAGCTCTACAGGATATGTGCCTACATGTGTTTCCAATCTTTTCCCTCAGCTTTGGCAGCACAGCCTGCTATGTTGCTGAACTACTGTTGGCTCTCTCCTCCCTGGGTGTGCATGCATGACCCCTCTGAGGGAGTGCCAAAAGTAAATTAAGGTTTCTTTGGACAACACTAACTTTTACAACTATTTTCCTTGTGAATTACACAAGCCTGCCATAACAGCATACCTCACAGAATAGTCCCCTCT